TTTTGATCTGTTCCACAGATGATGAGGAGATGGAAGGAGATGGAGTCATAGACCCAGGAATAGAGTATGTGCCCCCTCCCAGTGGGACAGCTGGTGCTGGCACCATGATAGCAAGCAGGAAAAAAGTGAAGACAGCTGAGCAGATCAAGCAAGAGGTGGAGAGTGAAGAAGAAAAAACAGAACGGATGGAAGGTGACAGTGAAGATCCTGAAGAGTCAAACACACCCTTGCAGGTGAGAGGACGAGACAAGGGGAAGTCACAGCTGGAGAAGGATGCTAAACTCAGAGCTCCCAGACACACCTCAGTTAGCATCTATGAGGAAAAGCTGCTGCTGAAGAGACTGGAAGCCTGTCCCAATGCTTTGAGCATGACCCCAGAGGCCCGGAGGCTGAGGCGCAAGCTGCTGGTCAGGCAGGCCAAGAGGGAGAGAGGACTCCCACTCTTTGACTTGGACCAGGTTGTGAATGCTGCATTGCTCCTGGTTGATGGGATTTATGGAGCCAAAGAAGGCAGTGTTTCCAGGTCCCCAGTAGGGCAAGCAACATACAGAACTACTAGCCAGGACTTCAGGATCTTGGATAGATACCAGGTGGGTGTTCCCAAATCTAAGTTAGCATTTAGCACTGGTTGTTTTAAAGCTTTTGCTGCAGCCAGCAGTGTCACGTTGAGGTTATCTGACTCCTAAAGTGAAAAGGAGACTCATTTGGCTTGGGGCTGTGTCCCCACCAATGCTCTCCTAAGTCCCTTTCTTCTTGGGACATGCTGGTTCAGCACTGCTATCCATCAGTGTCAGCACCACAAATGTTGCTGTATTTGTACTCCAGCCCTGCCCAAATGCTGGTGGTGGAGGCCTGGAAGTACCCAGACAGGTGGGTGCTCTTTCATGTGTCTAGGAGGGAGATGACTTGCAGCACTTTTAGGCTTGGGCACCAAATTTGGGAGTGCCCAGCAGAGTCCAGAGGTGGTACCACTGTGGACCAATCCACCCTGTCACACTGAGAGGCCCTTACTCTCCCTCCATTCAATTCCCTTTTTAAATCACTGACTGACCTTCCTGCAATTGTGCATTTTTTTGTGCATGCAGACAATGCTGCCCGCCACGAAGGGATACCGCCAGCAGACAACCAAGTTTCTGTACCGCCTGGTAGGCTCGGAAGACCTGCTGACAGACCACAGTATTGTCAGCCCTTACACCTCCCGTGTCCTTAAACCTTACATCAGGTACAGAGGGTCTGAGCTTGCTCTTGGCTTGTGCACCGCCAGCCCACGGAGAGGACACCTTTCTTGGGCAGTGCTCCTCACTCCTCAAAGTACAACCCAGTGCACCATGGTAACCCTGAAGGGATAGCATTTGATTTAGCTGAGTAGTGAAAGGGATTGCATTGGGAAGGGGAATCTCCAAGAGGGGGCAAGGGCAGACAGGGCATTGCTGTAGCCATTCAGTGCACCTGCTCTTGGGTCAGAACCATGATTTCCTTGCTCATGCTGTGGGTCTGGAAAGTGTCCTGGCCTCTGGCACAGGGGTGTTTTTGCTGAGCTGGGGGCTGCTTCCCCATGTGAATGGAAGACTGTTCCTTATTTTTCTAAAGTTGAGCATTTCATAAGATATTTCATGGGCAGTACCCATTTAGCTGCAGTGGCAGTTCTTGTTGCTCACTTGCTTTTTGTGTTTCCTTTTCACGTTCCTGGCAGACGTGATTATGAGACAAAGCCTCCAAAACTCAGGCTGCTGGCAGAAATCCGGGCGAATCCACACAAGAATGATCTCAACTGGAAGGCTGAGCCAGAAGCACCCATTGATTACTGCTATGTTCGCCCTAATCACATCCCCACTATAAACTCCATGTGCCACGAATTCTTCTGGCCTGGTAAGATTCCTCCAGTGCTTGGGTTTCCAAGAAAGAAGTGGTATTGTTCAGGAAAAAAAAATGTTCTTGGGCCAAATTTTACTTCAGTCTGGCTGGTTCTTAGAAATCCATTATCTGATGTTACAGGAATGTATTTGAGGTGGAGGCTGGGTTTGGTGTCTTTGTCTCTTGAGATCGCATAAAACTGGGCAATTAGGCCCTAATTAGCACAGCACTTACAAAAATAGGTGCTAATAGGAGCAGTCAGGTAGTTTAGTAGTGAACTAAACTTAAGCATCCAGTGAAATGTTTTGCAGAATCAGGGGTTGAAATAAACAGTTTTATTTCAGAGATTGCTGTTCATTACCTTTGTGAGAAGGTTTCTTCCTAGCAGGCATGAGCTGGATATGGCAGAGTGAAAGTTGAGAAGTCGTATGAGGCATGGCTGAGGTCACTGAGTCTGTTCAGCCTGGAGAGGAGACTGAGGGGAGACCTCATCATGGGCTGCAGCTTCCTTGGGAGGGGAAGCAGAGGGGCAGGCACCGATCTGTTCTCTGTGATGACAGGACTCAATAGAACAGCTCTGAAGCTGTGCTAGGGGAGGTTTAGGTTGGGGATTAGAAAAAGATTCTTCACCCAGAGGGTGGTGGGCACTGGAGCAGGCTTCTCAGGGCAGTGGTCACAGCTCCAAGCCTGCCCCAGAGAAGTTTGGAAAACGCTCTCAGGCACATGGTGTGATTGTTGCAGTTGTCCTGTGCAGGGCCAGGAGTTGGACTCCATGATCCTTGAGGGTCACTTCCAACTCAGCTTATTCTCTGAATCGCTTTTACAACTGTAGGCTCTGCTGGGATTTTTTTTTTTTTTTTTCAAGCCTCAGTATTTACAAGGTATGGGAAAGATTAGGTTAGTATTTTTCTGTGTCATTTCTGGAACTGCAGGTTCTTTGGGGACAATGCCTGCCCTTTCTGGAGGCGGTTACAGGGCTGCAGTGTTTAGTTCTTCTGAGATAATAACAGGGATGTTCATCTGCTGCATGCATCAGCTTCTGATCAGCAAACAACGCAGCAGGCTAATTTAGAGAAGGCCAGTACAAACAGTACACACCTTTATCCCAGGTAGCTGTTTGGTTTTTGTTTTGATTTGCCGATGGTGATTCAGTAGGGCTGTAGTTCAGCAGTGCCCATATCCCGCAGTCAGGATGGGAGCTCTTTTTGCCACTCATTATGCAAATTGCACAGTGTGGGGGGGAAATAACCTGGCACGCCTTTCCTTTCACAAGCTATTTGAGAGTGTGTGAGAGACACTTGCAATCCCAGCAGAGGCTGAACCGCTTTGTCATAGTCTCTCCTGTCCTGATAATGCATTTGAAGTTCTGGCCAAGTTGGGTTGCACCTTCATTAAGTTCTTCAGGACTCACCCTGTTTTATTTAACATAGGGAGCATGGGTGTGTTCCACACAACTGTGAACTGTTCGTCATTAAATCAGAAAGCTGGCACCCCCATCAGTCTCCAAACAGGAATCCCAGTATTTTCCACGGTGAAAAAGTCCTGATGCTGGGATATGGTTGTTGCACCTTGATTCTGTTTAGGAGGAGAGGGAAGTGAGGAATCGATGCAGGACGTAAAGCCTGGCTGCATAGGGTTTAGCTGGTACAGCTTGGGGGTGGGAGGCAGGGATATGCAACTGGGGAGCATCATTAAAGCAGTGCTTAGTTCTTGTATCCCTCCAAATCCTTCCTTTCAGAGCTGCTCTTGCCTCTCCCAAGGCAGAACTAGGTTTGCAGGTAGAGAGATTCTCACAGTGCCTTAGTGCCCTAACGGGAAACCTCTCCCTAGCAGGGAGTGTCTCCAGTGGTGAACCATCCTGAGCTAAGCATCTTCCTACAGGAAAAACTGCACCACTGCAGAGACACCAGCGCCTGGGGCAATGGGTGTTCTGTCCCGACACGCTGCAAGGCACTCCACAAGCAGCCGCAGCCTTGGCTTAATTAACATAGCTGCCTATTGCCAATCGATCCCTCCCACGTCTTGCTCCACCCAGCTTACTCTCCAGCAAGAAAACAACTCATCCACTTCTTGGTGCCTTGTGAAGCCTTGCATCTCATCAAGAGTGATTACTGGAAAACATACTCTGCTATTTTATTACCTTGTATTCCAAATACATTGCAATTGCCAACCTAAGGCTGAAGCAGACGTTTCTGGCACATCTCCTCTGTGTCTTGCATCTCATTTAGGGTCTGTCCACGCAAATTACCAAGCAGTCAGTCTTCAGTGCCTGGAGCTGCACTGCTTGGTGCTGACAGGCTGTGTGGATGCTCTAGGACTGCAGCACCAGGGTGATTGGGCAAGGTAACAAGCTCATGGTCTCTTCCTTGTGTCCAGCCTCTGACTCACAGAAGCACCACTGCCTGAGAGGCTACTTCATCCCCCAGGTTAGAGAATTTGCATGCTAAAAGCAAGTGTTTTGATAGTGTTGGAAGCTGTGGTCAGGCTCACAGTGCAGCTCCAAATCAGCTGAGTGTGCACAAGAGGCAGCAGTAAGAGCTCCAGGCAAGGTGGAGGAAAAAGACAGGAACCATAGCAGGTAATGCTACCGAAGCTAAAGCCCAGTTTCCTGTGTGCTGCTTCTGAAGAGAGTTAAGTTTCAGTTTCATCCTTGAGTCATTTGAAAGGAAATCAGCTTTGTTAGTATTTCCACTCAAGCTTCCCTGCTAAGCAGATCTTGTTTTGTTGTATCATCTTTTCCCTTGCAGATCTACCTGGCAGGGGAGGCACCAGGATCAGGCAGCTGGTTTTCCCAAGGCATGGTTCATCCCCTGCACTCTGGGTGTCCTGACCCCTGGGATTTCCCAAAATGCAGGAAATTTGCTTCATAATTTGTAGTAACAGAGGACTGCTCTAGCAGGGGCCTTGGACTATTCTATGATGCTGTGATCTCTTGCTATCACAAATTTGAAATAAAGGTAAAAAGAAAGGATCGAGTGTTTTTAAAGAGCCTGAAACCTCTGGAACTGAACAACACTTTTCTTTTGGTTTGCAGTCCTTCCAACTGCTGTTTCTCTTTTTCCCTAGGAATCGATTTGTCAGAGTGCCTGCAGTATCCAGACTTCAGTGTTGTTGTCCTTTACAAGAAAGTTATAATTGCCTTTGGCTTTATGGTGCCAGATGTGAAATACAACGAAGCTTACATCTCTTTTCTGTTGGTGCACCCTGAGTGGAGAAGAGCTGGGATTGCAACCTTCATGATTTACCATCTTATCCAGGTAATGAAATGAAATCATCCCGTGAATCTGCCAAAGAACCAGCTTTCACTTCTTCCTTGTGTGCACACCTGCAGATATTAGAGAGTAAGAACCTTTTTTGTAAATGTTTATGGGAGGAAACAGCTCCTGCTTTGGAAGTTAAAACGTGTTTAGGAAAACAACCATCCTGGTCATGTCCTCAGAATTAGAGGACATGCACACTTTAGCTGTCTTGGGGTTAACTCTGTTCTTCAGTGGTCAGTAGTTTATGTACAAGGGATACTGTAAGTGGGGGGTTTAAGGAGAAAATGAAGTAAGAGTGAGCAGGGTCAGTTAGAATTATTGCAGCTTTCTTGACTATACCTGGAGGTTTATTCCATGCATTAAATCACTTACTGATCTCAATCACTCACTTTCGCTTTTATACTCTGGTTCAAATACAGCTGAGTTAATGATGAATTGTTCACAACCTCATTTGTTTAAACTGGCTTGTACTGGGCCTTGTTCCACAGCAATACTTGAAAATTAATCTCAGCTATCTAAATAGGTGATATTAAAGGAGTTAAACTCTATTACATCTCTAAATGAATACTGTTATTCAAGTGGCCTTAATTCCACTGACTTTCTTGAATCAAATTGCAGTGAAGGCAGCTTAATTGTGACTAAGGATGCAGATACATGTCCTTTACAGAGCCCAACTCCACAGTTTACCACTCCCTGAACTCTCTTGGCAGAGCTACCAATGGGAAACGTAGTCAAGATGAGCTTCACTAACAAAAACTCAACCATTGAAACTGTTTTATCCTCTTCCTTATTTGGCTAAAGCAAGGTAGGGAGTGCTGGAAGAGCCTTGGGGAAAGTGATCCCTGCTTTGGAAAAGCACTTTGTGCTCCTGGGTCCCTGAGGGTGACTCTGCTACCTGCACAGCTCTGCAGTGCTGACACAGGCCTCTATCAATATCCTGTAAACTCACCCCTTGCATCTCCCAGGCAGCTCTGTGTCAGGTGTTGAAGGAAATTGCTCTCAGCTCAGTGTGTTGATGTGAGATGTCAACACCCAGTGGGAACAGGCGCCAAGGTTTGCAGGGATCCAGCAGGTGGACTCTCAGAGACTTCCCTCTCCAGCAGAGCTGGGGTGCTGCAGTCAGCCACAGAAAATCCTCACACCTTTTTGTAGGATGTATCACATCAATTAACCTAATCCTGCTTGCATGGAATTCCCTGTTGAGAAAAGCCAAGCGGATTTGAGAGATTTGAGTCTGATTAGGCACACTAGCAATGAGAGATCAGTATTGTATGTTTGGCACACATGAGGTTTGTTTTGCCATTGCTGGTTTTCTGACTGTGGTAGGAGGGGTTTAGTCCTGTGGGATAATGGTAGTTGTGACCTTCTGTTTCTCAGTCTCCAGGTTGTAGGTGCTGCTTTGCAGCCTGCTTGGGGTTTCTTCTCTGGAGCTTGAGACACTTTGGTGCTCTGCTTGGATTCAGTGTGCTGAGGTTAAGGCTGAATTCTTGAGAGCAGTATAACTTAACAGGAAGATGGTTTGGTGCAAATAGTGGTAGCTGGTTTTGCTGTCAAAATTTATCCTCTCATGCATCTGTCCCAGAGGAATAAACTGCATTTTCTTAATGATCTCATTCAAATTTTCTTTTCCCCAAAACAGCTTCCAATTACTTCTGTTTTTCCTTCCCTCCTTAAATTCCTGAGTTTTCCCTTTGAATGTATTATCTTGGAGATTTCCTAGAGGGTATTACTGTTCCCACTTTAGAGTTACGATACACTCAATATACATGGAATGCTATTAAATCACTTGATGAAAGCAGAAAATAAATTATTTCAGCATCTTAATCAGAGTATTGCTGGTTGGAATAGTTTAGGATTTCAAGGTAACTTCAGCCATGCTATTATTTCCTGCCTTCTCAGCAGGCAAGTGGTGTGCCCTGAAGGATGGGAGAGGAGCTGTGTGGGATAGGCAGGAATTCCAGCATGACAGCACAGAGGTGCTCAGGCAGTCCCAGAGAGCTCAGCTCTGTTTGCTGACAGGGAGGAGCGCAGAGCCTGATCCTCTGGCATGTTTTGTCTTTTCTTCAGGCCATTGTATTTGAGATCAGGGCTGTACACCAAGATTATTTCTAATTAACAATTACTCTAGTAATTTACAATGAGCAGATGACAAATTATAATCCCAAACCTTTCACTGTCAGAGAATCCACGTTACCCAGAAACAAAGGCTTGGAGGAGCAGCAGCAGCGCTCCCTTTGCTGTTGCTATGTGTGGTAACTCCGGTGACTTTTCTCACATTTCCTCAGTACCTTGGTTCCCTGAGCTGATGAATCTCCTCACCTCCGCATTCCCCCAGAGGCTGTCTCGTTCTCTTGTAGTGATATCTCCTTTTTTCCCTCTCCCCCTCCCTTGGCAGACCTGCATGGGCAAGGACGTCACCCTTCACGTCTCTGCAAGCAACCCTGCTATGCTGCTCTACCAGAAGTTTGGATTTAAGACCGAGGAGTACATTTTGGATTTTTATGACAAGTATTACCCCTTGGACAGCAAGGAGTGCAAGCACGCCTTCTTCCTCAGGCTGCGGCGCTGAGCTGCGGGAGGCGTCTGGGGAAAAGCCCAGTCCATCCAAAAAACCCCCCCAGCTTTTGGTGGAGGATGTTGGCTGCCACAGGAGAGTTGGAACACGCTGGTGTGTTTATCCTCAGGACTTTGGATGTCAGCAGTGAGATGTTGTGTGTGGAAAATGCAATCCAAGAGGATTGATTCCTGTGCTCCAAGGGGAGAGGCCTGGAAATGCCAGCTAGGATACACTGAAACCACTGGAAAATTGAAATTCCTTATGGGGAATTTTCCTGCCACTGTTACTTTGGAGAGCCTCATTAGCAAACAAAAATACCAAACAAAAAAGTGTTTTTCACTTCAGAGGGGTTAAACCAGAGGTTTTTTGTCTCTTTTTTTTATGAGCAAAAATGAACACCTGAACTTAAACCATTCAGTGTTTTTGCAGTTTGATTGCTTTGTTAGGAACTGTCTTGAGTCTGTGAAGGGAAATAAGGTATTGGTGCCTGTAGCTGGATGTTAACATTAGAAAAGTTCTGCACATGCCAGAACCGTAGTCCTGGAACCGTGTTTCAGGACTGCTGAAGAGTGTGTGGATTCCTGTTATCCCAAGCACAGGGCTCAGAGGAGACACCTTGGTTTTGCTCCTTCCCTGCTGCCTTCCCTTCCCCTCCTTGCCCTGTGCTCAGTGTGAAGGTCTCGTGGCGCACAGTGTTTTGTGTTCAGGAACGGTGTCGGGTGGGTTTGTGTGTAGGCAAGGTAGGGCACCACAGCTGCCAAGTCAACTCTTTGGAATCTCCACTTCCCTGCTGGTTGCTGGTCTGCAGACCAGCCCACTGGGCACACCTCTAGCCACAGAGCAGCCTCACAGGCTCCAGCACCCACCTCCTGCTACAGGCGCTCTGGCTGGAAGAAACCCAGAGCAAAAGTCAGCGGGGATGTTTGAAATGCAGGCTCTGGTTTGTAGAAGCATCCTGCTTGCAGCCTGGAGGGAGGAGAGGGCAGAGGTGGCCCAGATCTAGTTCTTGGAAGAACCTAGGCTCACCTAGCAAAGAATAAAGAGAAATACTCAAGAATTAAAAAATACAATCCTGAACACTTTCTCTGGTAGTGGCTCTTGTCCTTTTCCACAATGTAGCAGCTTCTCTCTCTGCCTGCCTTTCAGTGCAGATGAACAGAAAACTGCACTGACCAAAGGTCAGGCTGTGCATTTTAACCACGGATCACATCCATTGGGATGGTCCTTTTACATCAAGCCCACAGAGAGCTACACACCAAATGTGACTTTTGTCCTTAATCTACTGTGTGTACCTGTTGGCTACCTGACTAAAGCAGCAGTTGCTTTAGTAACTACTTAGTGAAGTCTTCATTTTGGTAAGAGAGGAGAAAGGGACACTTAAGTATGTTTTTGTGTGGCCAGTGTCCGTCATCACCAACACAAAACTGATGGTAGTGGAAAGGAAAACCAGCCCAGCCAAGGGTTGCGTGCCTGAACATCCATGCACATTTCTGCCTGTTTTATGACTGTGAAAATTTTCAATGTTTTAATGTTACATGTTAGCTGGACTTCGAAAGAAAATAAATATATGTCTTTATGAATGGAATTAAAGCCCTTCCCTTGGAAAATCCTGTCTGTAGTAATACTGTTTGTTAAGATGTCTCTCCATCATCTTACTTCATTGGAATCTCGCAAACTTCAGTATGGCCCTAAGAGGATGTGTGTGGGCAGCTGACCAAATCAAGAAACTCATTTCCCTACAGGCACCCCCAGAGGAGGCACACACATGCAGGCCTTGGCAAGCTCCTCCTTTCCAGACAGAATTAGGAAATATAAAGTAGTGTGAAGAAGATGACCAGTTCTGCATTGTGTTCTCTAAGGTGACCGTGAAGATTTTGAGGACCTTGTTGCTCTGTGGCTTTGCCAAATGACGCTGTTATAGCGGCCCTGTGTCACCTGCTGAGCTGCAGCCAGCTTGTTTTATCCAGGTCCCTCGTTTAACCCCAGATCCCCAAAGGCAGTGAAGTGATCTTCGGGGCGGGAGCCATGGCTTTGCGAGGGGTGAGGTTCTTCTAAAGCAGGGAAGGAAGCGGACAAATGGCGTTCCCGGCCCTGTGCTTCCCTCTCGTGCCTCGGGAGCCCGGCTGCTGGGTCACCGAGCTGTGCTGCACGGCACGGCTGCTGCGCGCTTCCCGCAGGAGGAGCCGAGCACAGCTGAACAAAGAGAATAAAGGCGAGAACCGGAGAATAAAGGCGGAACCTCGCCCTGTCCGAACAGGACAGCAAAGCCCAAGCGTTCCCCGAGCTCCGACTCGTTGCGACGAGGAGAAAAGTTCCTTCCGGCTGCGTGCGCGGGCGCCCCCGGCTCCGTGAGGGCGGCGGGCCCGCCCCAGGCCCGCCCCACTCCCGCCCTGCCCCGCGCGCGGCCGTTTGAACGGGGCCATGGCGGGCCGGGAGGGGCTGCCCGAGGTCTGGCAGCTCTACTTCGCCTCTGTCCGCGCCGCCACCTTCCACAACTGGCCCTTCACCGAGGGCTGCACCTGCACGCCCGAGCGGGTGAGTGCGGGGCCGGGGCGAGGGCCGGGACCGGGCGGGCTCTGGGCCGGGCGGGCGCTGACCGCCTCCCCTGTGCCCGCAGATGGCGGCGGCGGGCTTCGTGCACTGCCCCAGCGAGAACAGCCCCGACGTGGCGCAGTGCTTCTACTGCCTCAAGGAGCTGGAGGGCTGGGAGCCCGACGACGACCCCCTGTGAGTACCGGGGGATCCCTCGGCCCCGGCCCCGGAACCGCTGGTGGCAACCGAGGGGCTCGGCAGGGGAGAGCGGCTGCGTGTGGCTCGCTGCGACCTGCTGCCTTCTCTTTTATTCTTTTTCTTTTCGCTTCTTTTCAGGGAGGAACACAAAAAGCACACTGGGGTCTGTGGTTTTCTTTCTCTTCAGAAAGAACTGACTAACCTGACGGTGCAGGAGTTCCTGAAGCTGGAAAAAATGCGAACGAGAAAGGCACTTGTACGTACACGGCGTCTCGTCTTTGAATTGTTCGGCTGGCCTCGTTCCTTACCGCGAGGCTTTGTGCAGAGTGCTTCGTGCATCCAGGCTCGGGCAGCTTCAGCCGCTGTGCCCTTGCCTGGCTCTCAGCCATGCTTTATGCGGCATGTATCCTGCCTTCTCCTCGAAGCTGAATGATATTCCACTTAGTGGTAGACAGTAACAGCATGTTATTTTTACTTTTTGCAGAAAAGAGAGGTTTCTCAGAAGATGACCAGGGTTGAAGAAAAAGCCAAGATCCAGCGCTGTAGTATAAAGAATCTGGCCTAAACTCCTGCAGCTTTGTAGTTGCCAGTGACATCTGTCCTGTCCACATGGTGTGGCACTGCCCCTGTGACTGAATGGCCATGTTTCCTGAGGCTGCTTCCAGACTGGCTGTCCCTGAGAAGCAGATGGAATTCTGCTTCACTCCTCCAAGTCTGTCTGGGAAGTACCTGGGGGTTGATGCATTGCATACAAAATCTTTTCCTGCAGGGATTCTCCTAATTTTCCTGCTGGCTTTTAAAGGATTATTACTTGTGGGTTTACCTGTTTTCTTATTTTTTTTCTTTTTTTTTTTTTTTTTTTTTTTGGTAAATTCACCTATTTAGAGATATTGCTGTCTCATAGATATACTGGTAGCTCTGGTGCTAAAACTTGTGTTTCTGGTAGGAGTTGACATGTGTTTTCATGTTTGTACTGAATATACTGATGCTTTTAGATACTCTGGGACATAGAAAGGGGAAGGAGTTTTAAAAATACTTCAGGGGCTTGGGATTGTGGCTAATAACATTGGGTTATGCCACACCTTAGTGTGCCTGGTATTCTTGTAAACTTCTGTTTGTCGTTGGCTGCTGCCTTGTGTTGATGCATTTATAAATAAAAGTTGAAGGGAGAAGAACAAAGTTTTACTTCATTTTCTGGAGGACAAGACTGATCTTTACTGCAATGGACTGTACTGACTGCAGTTTTAACATGAAAAAGGAAACTAAGCTCATCAGTTACAGCTTGCAGTGCTGTTGCTCAAGTGTCAAACTCTTGTAAGCAGTGTTCATCAGGCATAGACATTTCAGAGACATTGAAATTTATTTGTGCCTGGGAAGGTTTGTTTTGTCCCTTTGTTTAGAAAGGAGAAGAAAATTTGCAGAATAGAGTGCAGTTAGAGGGGAGTTGTGCTTTGAACTGCTGGAAAGGAACAGGGCAATCTTGGAGAAACCATTTGACTGTTACAGGCCCCAAGCTGATCACATAGGATTGTGGATTCTGCAGACAGAACTGGACACACGTGATCAGGTGCTCCCAAAGTCAAAGAACCTTCTTCAGCTTTATTTGGGGAGAAAGTTTGTTGTAATACATTGATGAGAACAATGTTCCTGTGTCACATAAGTTTGTTCAGTGTTCTCTGTCCAGACTTACTTGGAACAGTGAAATAACCTTATTATCTCCAGCTGCAACAGCCAAATCCAGCGCTGAGTGCCCTGCTGCATTCCTCTTTTGCACACTTGCATTGCAGCTGTAAATACAGAACACATTGGTTTAAACTGCTTAGATTCAGTGCAAGTGACTGCACTTAGTGATGAAGTGGCTTGTAGGTGAATGTTGATGTGGAGTAACTTTGGAATTTCTGGATGCTCCTTCCTGCAGGGACACGGGGCAGGCTCTGGGCCTCCAGTGGTGCCCAGCAGGTCTGTGCTGGCAGGCTGGGGGGAGCCTGCAGCTGAGCTGGAGGCCCAGCCACAGTACCTACCGTAACAGGGCTCGGATGCACTCCTCTCCCTCCAGTCCCAGCAGAACTGCCTCATGGAGAGCTGTGTTGTTCTGCCTGCACAGAACAGGAG